TAAATTGATAAAATGATCCTAAAAGTCATACAAACAATTCAAGGGATACAGAAGACACAAGACAATTTTTTGCTTGCTTTTTATTAAAAATGAAATAAGACAATACCTTAAACACAAAAGTGTAAAGATGGAGGACTTTTCACTTTCACAATTAATACAAAGCTACAGTAATTGAAGTATATCAATAGCTGAAGTATTATATAATATTTGGATTTATTACATCATTTGCATTCTTTTAACATAAGACATAGAAACTGTCACTGATACTTGTAGACTATAATGTATGTCTCAAGGAATATTATATATATATACATATATATTATTTTGAGTATATATTTTTTTAGTTAAAAAATAGAATTGAGAGTTGAGATATGGACTCATATTTCCAGATGATTGACATTTTTATTGTAATAAGACATGCATAACATTTATCAACTTAACAACTAAATGCATAATACAGTATAATTTATTGAGTGACCACGATTGAAAAGATATCTAGAATATTTTCACCTTACAGAACTAAATCTCTATATCCATTGAATAACTGACCTCCATTTCTGTAATCTCACTGAACAGGAAACTTACTAGCTATCAGGATCCTATCATCTGTGTTCCTATGGAGTCATATGTAGCCAGTGAGCCTCGAGGGATCTGCCTATCTATCCCACTCCCACCAGCACCGAGGCTGCTGGCCTGTATATGCTGCTTGCCTGGCTCTTTACATGATGGTAGGGGTCAGAACTCAGGCCCTCATGCTTTTGTGACAGGCACTTTAACTGACTGAGCTGCCTGCCCAACCCATTTTTAAAAACCTTTTTACATGATGTTTCCCTCTCTGTCTAGATGGTTTTTTAATTATACATTTTATTAAGGTATATAATGAAATACAGATTACTTTGTTCCAGAAGTTTAATCATTTATCCAGGTTATATCATGAGTTTATTATGTTGTATCAATTTTGACTGGTGTACATTTTGCTGTTGTGCTTTTACAAGTGTGTAGATTTTGTATTTTCTTCATTTTCTCATTTTTTTCAAAGACACCAATTATATTTAAATTGAGCTATGCCTATTTTTATGACTATAATTGCTACAGTTTGGATCTTGAATGTTCACCAAATGGCCACGTGTTGGAGTTTTGGGCTCAGTTCGTGGTGGCACTGGATGATTGTGGAACCTTTAGAAGAGGGGATCTAGTGACCGGAAGTATGTCCTTGAAGGTTACACTGGGACACCAGCCTCTCTCCTTTTGATTCCTGGTTACCATAAACTTAACAGGCCTCTTTCACCACATGCTCCTATTAGTAGAAAACCAGAAAAACACCTGGGTCTTTGGGTGATGTTGAAGGAACCAGCTCCCCATTTCGGCAGCCATAACAGCCTAACATGTGCTTGCCTGACCTTGCCTTGGTCACTAGGAGGTCAGATGCCTGCCTCGTGGCAAGGAACCAATCAGAAGTTAGCTGGTGGTACTATGCTTTACGGCTCTGGGTGTGCTTTACGGACAAGTGCACAGCCATGACATGCAGAGCATAGCAACCGCCCTGGGAGGGCCTATGGGCCATAACAACCAGTTGACCAATCAACACAGGGCAAGTCCTCCAAGCCTTGAGGCACACCAATCCTGAGCCTGTGCATACCCTTAGATACTCCCCTTGTGCCCTATAAGATCTCTATCCCATGGCTTCTTGGCGTCTTTCCCCAGCCATCCGCCATGGTGGGTGGATGAAAGGCCCGAGCTAACCTGGGGTTAGCTCGGTAAACAACTGCAATAAAAGACTCATTGCTTTTGCATCGAAATGGGCCTCTTGGTGATTTGGGGATTCAGAATTTGGTCACAACAATGTGACCTAAGAGGCCACCTCACTCCTCAGAATATCTTCTCAGTCAAAGAGCCGAAAGGGAGCTGAAGAAAGGTTAAGAATTTTAAGGATGAAGTCAGAGGACAGCAAGAATATGGGGCATACCTTCCATGGTGGGCAAGATGAGCGAAGCAGGACGTTTTTAATGAAGTGAGAATGAGGAAATGAATACAGGGGGCAGACTGGAGAGATCTGTTGTCTTGCATTTTTTTATATTGTGGCTTATATTGAGGATTAATGCGGAGCCAATGTGTCACAGACCTGTGAACATAAAGAAAACAAGCATGTACACATTATACCTACCCTCTGCCTTTGAGGCAAACTGAGGAAGAAATAACTAACCACTTCCCATTATTGTTGGTTTAAATTTGTAGTCAGCTAAGAGCTACCCCGTGTTGCCCAAACCCAGGGGTTATGTCTAAGACAGGCACGTGTAAACCACTCCTATTGTTTGTCAGTTCACATGCAAGCTTTGGATCAGCCATGAAAGACCCTGTGCTGGCTTCTTTCAGATTTTGCAATGGAATAGAAATTCTTGGATGTGTTTCACACTGGGGATTTTCCATTGCTTAACGAAAGACAAGAATTTGAAAGCATTAAGTGTATCTTTCAAAATCTGCCTCCTTTCCAATTCCTTAACTCTTTAGTTACCCTAGGACATGAACACCCGTGATGTACCATGAGCCCAAGGTGACAGAACCAAGTGACTGTAGACTGAAATCTCTGACCCCATGGCACAAAGTAAACCTCTCCCTCCTATTTGGTCACAGCCATGCAAAGGTAGTGCATTATCTTATCACAAGTCACTTAATTTCTTTTCTTATGCCTCTGTGTTTCCTCTTTTTATCTCAAGATATGGCTTGGTACCACGACTAGTAGATAAATATATTTCATTTCTTTCTGCACCTGGTTTACTTATTTGATATACAGTGGAAAAAGTACTGTTTTAAATATACCTGTTAATGCTACAAATCCCTTTTCATTTCATGTTGCTTTTGCCCTTATGATATCAAGCTTCTTCTATAGTGCACATTGTAAGAGGATCTGATTCTGTGTCTAGGTTTTTCTCTTAGTCTTTCATTGCTGCTCCTTTGGGATGCTGTTTTCATGGAATACTGGCTTCCATTCTCTCTCTCTCTCTCTCTCTCTCTCTCTCTCTCTCTCTCTTGGATGTGTCTTTGTGTATCTCTGTGTGACTGGATCTGAAGTGTGCCTCTTTTAGACAGCAAATAGTTGGATCATTCTATTTTGTTGTTTCTGCCCCCATGTTCTTTCTGTCCCTTTTATACCTACACTTCTGAGATAGGACTAGGGCTGTGTCTGTGCTAGGCAAATGCTCTGAGATTTGCCTAGTAGTCAACCCTTCCTTTTGATGAGAAATTTTCATCCATTTACATTTAATGTAATTATGGGTAAGAAAGGACTTACAGCAGCTATTTTTGTTTTTTTCTTTGTGTCTTATATCTTTTCTTTCCTTCATTTCCTTTGTTATTATCTCTCTTTGTATTTACTTGATTTTTATGGCAAACAGCTTTGTCTTTTCATTTTCTTTGCATATTCTTCAATAAGAAGTCTTTTATGAATAATGTGGTGACTACTTCTTAAACCTGAGATTGGTACCAGTTCCAACTTCAGCACCATAATAAAATACTGTTTTAGCCCCACCTTCTTTTATATTATTATTGTTAGAAGTTATATTACTCTATACAATGTACTCATAATACATAACATGTACTATGCATAACATAGAATTATAATTTTAATGCATTTTCCTTATATATCATATAGGAAATAAAATGTGAATGCACAAGGGAAGAGTGACTATAATTATGTGGTTGGAGTCTGTTTCCCTGATATAGGTGTCTGACTTCTCTCTCTGTGCTTCAGTTCCACATTATAAGAGAAGATATTTGTGAGTGTTAAATGATAAAATATATAATGCAAGTTTATCTCTGCATTATAAGCATATCACTGTTTGTTTTTGTGGTTATTAGCAACATAAAAATAAGTTTTCTTCACTCCAGATTTATAAAAATTATTATTGGGTCTGGATACAGAATATTATCAAATTAATTTTTAACATCTAATAGCATGATCATAGCATTGTCTATTTTTAACTTATGAAGCAAAATCAGTTACATATCTGCCTTGTATTCCTGGGATAAAGCTAGTTGTTTATAACACATTTTTTTCTTATGGTGTACTCCTAAGCCTTACATTTCTAATATTATACTTTGAATTTTACAGCTACATTTTAAGTAAATTTATGTGACACATTTGTCAATGATTGCTACCAGGTAGTACTAGCATAATAAAATAAATTAGGAAGTTAGCTATATAATTATTGTTTTGTTTAATAGCATAGAACATTGCCTCTGTGGTATCAACAGTTGGAATTTCTTATCAATTTTTGTGGTTTAATATAAATCATCAATTTTATAAATGTTTGATGGCCTCAGAAAATAGTGATGAATTTCCTACAAGAAATAAAAAGTCTCCCTTTGTGAGTGTAGATATTCAGCTTTGCTATATTATATAGACCCTCTTCATTCTAACTTATTCACTTTATTATTTCACTTGCCAAAGGAAAACAGGAGTTCACGTGTTCCTATTAATACTGTTTTCTATTAATTCTCAAAGTTCACTGTAAGTTGTAGTTGAAATCAAGGTGGACTGGTCGAGCAAGACTGCAGTCATCATCTTCTACACAAGCTTTCTGTCTCCCCTGCAGATCCCAAATTCCAGTCTGTCTCCATACTCTTCTCTCTAGATGCTGTCAAGGTGATGGTACTCTGTTAACTGGAGTGCCACTCACAGGGTTTACTTTGCACAACTGGCAGTGACATCTTAACCAAGGACATTGCCTGAGGCTGGGAAGCGGCTCTGTGGGTAAAATGCTTTGTTTCACAATTACAGGGAGCTGTGTTCAGATCTGTAGAACCCATGTAAAAGCTGGGTTCAGCTGCATCTGTAACCCCAACACTGGTGGGGAAGAAGGAAACAGGAGGAGCCTGGGGGCTCACTGAGAAACTAATTTAGTGGCATCGGACAGCTACCAGATCAATCAGTAGCCTGTCTCAAAAAATAAGATGGAGAGTAATAAAGGAAGACATCTGACATTGACCTCTTACTTCCACAGGTGCATGCCTGGGTGAGCACAGCCATACCGACCACACATACAAAAGAAAGACATTCTCTATCAACTCCAACCAAGCTGGAGTTGGTTCTTCCAGAGGAGCTAAGAATGGTGACCAATTGACTTCCATGACACTGAATAAGTGATGTCTTGCTTTATGATATTTGGCTTCTGTTATTACAAATAATTAATACCAGATAAAGTTGGGCCATGATAAATGCTATGATAATCTCTTTAGGGCAAAGGACTGTGTGCTGTATGAAACATTCAAAATTGGATTTTTTTTTTCTACTAAGACTCTGAAACTTCAAAGGCAGCCTGATGACTGTACATGGAAAAGAGTTTTCTTGGAACATGGCCAACCTTTTCTTAGTTGATTGTTTCTGAATTAATCTTATTTAATCATCTCTGATGCCCTGCACTGTGGCTCCCTTTCGCACAGATTGGATGGTTCTCTGGCCGGACTGCACGGAGCATGTTTCGGGAGGTAAGATGCAGCAAACGTAAACTGAAGTGGATGGCTCTCCTTCGAGGACAACATTTATTTCCGCCAGATCCTGACTGACTTCCTGAGAGCCTACGGTTCCAGACAGCAATCAGAGGATAGTGTTGCTAAATTGGTCAGCACAGAAATTTTGAGATTAAAACCCAAAGTCCAGAATTCTTCAGCAGATGGAGAAATGGAGCCTGAAGGAGACTGACTTACATTGAGGGTTGGCTATGAATTAGAGGCAGGTCAAGGCAAGAAAAGCCCAGGTCATCCTTGACGGACTCATATTCTACAGGAGGTACAGAGACTTTTGTCTTTCCCGATTCTTTCTACTCCTGGTTCCAAATCCCAGGTTTTGCTGATGAAATAAACTGAGAGATGGAGTTTAAGTGGTCCTCACATAAGGAAATGAAGATACAGGGCTCCAGGGATAAGGAGGATTGCCTGAAAGCGGCCTCCACATACCAAGGAGTCTCTTCCCCTTTCTTGGTTCTTCCCTGAACTCCATATTCAGTCAAATTTATTTCTCCTCAGAGTCCTTTTAGTCTTTGCTTAATGAGACTGCTGGTTGCCAAGGGTGGGATTGCCATTCAGTTATGCACAGCTTGTATTCATCTTCCTGAGAAAGGACATGGCATATGAAAGGATTGCCAAGGGCAACCGTGGTGGCATTTCTGAGAGAGCAGCGGCATTCCCAGCAGTGAGAGGAAACACCAAGTGCTCAGTAGCGGATGGAGGGTGGTGATGGCAGGAGGCAGGACTCCTAGAGGAATTACAACACTCCTACACTGCCAGGCCTCTAGTGCCCATTAGACCTGCTTGTTTTGTAAGCATCCGGGAGTCTGGTTTGCAGGATATACCTGAGCCAAGTTTAGGCTGGAAGGAAATTTGTGGGGAGGAAAATTTGCTTAGTTGCAAATGAGTTAGAACAGCCTGATGCCCTTCGTAGATCAAACAACACTTCACTGCTGGCTACTGGCTTTAGATACCCAAACCGATTCTTCATTGAGGCCCATTGCTAAGAAATGCAGCTCTTTGACTTGCCTATAGTAAGGCACCAAACAATGCCCTTAAAGGCTCAGCAATGACTTGGAATAGAACTTGTGGAGTGTGTAGCCTGGCCAGGACAGAGTAGCTGGCAAGCTGGCTGGACTCAGTCTTCATGTTTTAGACCAGAAGCAAAGAAAATGGCTACTCTTCACTCTGTTGTCTGTGTATTGCTTGGGGAGACAGTGGGCAAAAGAAGCTGCTGTTCTGTGTTGTAGGCACTTTTGGTGGTTCCAACCACATTCTCCCCTCACCTCAGTGCCTCAATTCTGTGCAAACCCTACATTTCCTCTCAAGGGGGGCGTGGGGGGTGGGAGGTGGGAAAGGCTTTGTAGCAATGCATATGACAGGAAATACATAGTTTGATTGGGATGAGTTTCATTTTTAATTAATTAAGCTGGTTCCTTCTTCAAATTCAAACTTTAAACACAGAGCCACAGTTTAGAGAACAACTCCCCAAATTAGAAAGGAAACCTCACGTTTTTGTTGAGGTATAAATGACATTAAAATAAACTACATTCTTAAAGGGTGCGATTTAATGTGCTTTGACGTATGGATCACCACTTGATTATGGTGAAATCATCACCACATAATGAAAACATTCATCACTTCCTCCCCAGATTTCCCTCGTGCTCCTTTGCAGTCAACCGTGCTCCCTTTTCCTGACCCAGCCTATGGACCCCTAGCATCCCCAGGCAGCAGGCACCAGTTTACCTTCATCTTAGTTTCCATTTTCTAGCAGTTTATATAAATAAAATCACATAGCGCACACTCTTTCTTTGGTCCAGTTCCTTCTGGTGAACTTTATTAGTTTGTTGTGTTCAAAGAATTTACGCACTTAATTAAGTGGCTGAAATCATTACTATGGAGTTGCACATAACACACCCTTACTGTTGTTTTGTTTTACTATCTGTAGATTTAGAGATACAGATGTCTTACATTCCCAATATTAGTCATCTCTGTCGTCCCCATTGTTTCCCCCAGTTTTTCTAGAGAGAGGGGCCACCGGTCTTACTGACTTTTCAAGCCGAAAACTATTGTTTCCAGAGATTTTTTTCTCTTCTGTTTTTCTGTTAGTTGACCTTTGCTCTGATATTTATTATTTCTTCTGCTTTGCTTTACTTCTTGGGTTTAATTTCTTCCCCCTCCAGTTTCTTAAGATGGAAGCTGAAGTCATTGACTTGAGGACTTTCTGCTTCCTAATGGAAGCAGTTACTGATGCGTGTCAGGGGAAAAAATGACTTCTTTCTCTCCACTCCCTTACTTCCGTGACCCTACAGGTGTGGGCGTTTGTCTCCAGCAGTGAGTACGAAACTAGTGCTGGAGTTGACAGCTGTGTGGGCTCTGAACCAATCTAGTCTGGAGTCTTTCTACCCAGAGACAGTCTCAGATCCCACCAGCTGAGGACTCAGTCCCAGGACTTCCCCCTTTTCAGATGCCAGTTTCAAGCCTGAGTTTCTCACCCACCAGCTACAAATTAGGGTCCCCCAACACCATTCTTGAACTAGATCAACTTGCCTGAGTGGATCATAGAACTCAAGGAAATACATTGGCTGGTTTATTATAAAGTATTCTGAAGGATTCAGAGAAAGAGATGCGTAGAATGAAATATGGGAGAGGAGAAGAGAGAAGGAGGGGGAGGCATCTAAGCTTTCTGGATACATCCTACCCAGTAGGGACCTCCCATCTCCAACTACCCACAGCTTTCTGCACCCTTTGAGTTTCCCTTTGAGTCTCAGCATGATGACTTCATTGTATATGTGATGCTGATTGCATGCATAGGGAAGCCGACAAAAGCCTACAGGTATCTTGGCCTCTGCTCCATCCTGGTATAGGTAAGCTCCCTGTGGATTGAAGAAGTCTTAAGACTTCCTCAGAAGTCTTTTTCTCAGACAAGGGTAAGTTACAGATTTTAATTACTTTGTGCTAATTTTTATTTTTCTTTTTAAATTTGTTTTTTGTTATATTATTTGTCTTTTGCCTACATGTATTTCTGTGTGCCATTTGCATGCCTGGTGCCTTCAGAGGCCAGAAAGTGGCACTGGGTTCCCTGAAACTGCTAGTACGGTTGACTGTGGGTTGCCATGTAAGTGCTGAGTACAGAATTCAGGTTCTTTGAGAAAGCAGCCAGTGCTTTTAGCCAATGAGCACTCTATCCAGCCCCACAGAGAGATTCTTTATGGCTAGCTCCAACACAGAAGGAAGGGTGTGTGTGTGTGTGTGTGTGTGTGTGTGTGTGTGTGTGTGTATTGATATTAGAGTTTCTATGGCTTGCCTTGGAGAAGAGAAATTGTAGTTTCTCTAACCTGTCTTGGGGAGGGAGTTATGTACTAGGAGTCATAATCAAAATTAAAAATATATATTTTTGAGAGGTAGAAACTGAAACCTGAAAACATAATTATTTGTTGTAAGTTTAGAAAATTTCTTCTTAGCATTCTGCCAGCCTTTTAACTGTATTTTTAAAGTTTTCTTACTAACTATTTACATTTCAGAATTGTCACATCCTCTTGAATGGCTGACCCCTTTATTATTCGAGTCTCTTTCTTATCTGTGACAATATTCTTCATTCTAAAATCTACCTGTCTGATAGTATGGTACCACACCATACTGTTCTAACTGTTAACTGGGTATATTTTTTCCTGTCTAAGTTATTTTCCTGTTGTTTCTATAATAAATCATCACAATCCTCCATCCTCACAGATTAGTTCTGGTATGTAAATTATGTTGTAAATGAAGTAATTTATTATTTTTAGAGTTATAGAGTTAGGATGTCCACAGTCAAACAGGACTAAATCAGTGTTGAGTCTTTCTAGGGAGCTCTGGGAGAAGATGGATTTCCTTGCTGGTTTGTTTGTTTGTCTGCTTGCTTGCTTTTAGAGGTCTTGGCCCAGGGTCTCTCCTTCCCTGTGGCTGGTATGGGAGGAATCAGAGCAGTGGCGACTTGATGTATCCTGGTTCGCAAGGAGTAAGGCGTTGCATAAACATCAAGTGATGCTTCTCTTCTACTTATCAAAGTATTTCGGGATATTTAACCCAGAGAAGGGAGGACCCAATAAAACAAGATAGTTATAGTAGCTATTTGAAGAACTTTGAGGGAAAAAGCAGAAGCATGTGCTGGACAGCTAACAAAACCTAACTCTCCATCTCCATGTGGATGCCACACACGCAGCCAAACATGAGGCATGTTGAGTGGGGGAGGAGCTGTTGCAAAGGGCAGATGTATGTGCACATCACCAACTGCCATCCTGTAGCGGGCAGGGAAGTCCAAACATACAGACACAAAGGACAGACCCCTGCAGCCTTAGGCACAGGGTTAAGGATGAGAGCTGGGGTTGTATTGGTGATCTTCCCCTATCCCCTGCTGTCCTTGCCATTGTGTGGAAGTTCTTATAGCCCAGGGATTTCTTTCAGAAAATGAGAAGTATGTGAATTTGAATTCTTTTTGTCCAGTCAGCTCTTTCAGCTAGTGACCACCAAGAGGTAGAGAACAGATCCTTCGGTAATTTTGCCCCTTGTGATTGACAACTTAGAGGCAGCCATTCCCACTGACTCCTTGATTCCCAAGTGGGCCCAACTCTGATTATTCACAGCAAATTTGGCTTGAGCATATGTGGCTCATTCATTGGCTTTTCTTTCCCCTCTTCCCAGCTGTCTTTGTTAGGGTTTCTATTGCTGTGAAGAGGCACCATGACTACCGCAACTCCTATAAAGGAAAACATTTAATTGGGGCTGGATTACAGTTTCAGAGGTTTAGTCTATTATCATCATGGTGAGAAGCATGATGGCATCCAGGTAGACATGGGGTTGGAGAAGGATCTACAGGCAGCAGGGAGAGGGAGAGAAAGAGAGAGGGAGGGAGGGGGGGAGGGAGACTTGAGCTTCTGAAACCTTAAAACACACCCCCACAGTGACACACTTCATTGGACAAGGCCACACCTACTCAAAGAAGACCACACCTCCTAATAGGTCACTCCCTATTGACTTATGAGGCATTTCATTCAAATTGCTACACCAGCTCTCTTCTACTGTAATTTTTCTTAGCATTATCGTGCCCTCTAAACTTCTTGGACTTGAGTCCATATCAGTCCAAACTATATAGACTCAGGAAATAAGACAGATATATGGTGAAAAAACCTCACATTTGATGTACATGTCCCATTAAAACAAGAACATCAAAAGGAAAGCTGTAACCTCCTCCAATGAGGTTAAAGGGCCCGACTGTAATGAGATTCCTGGCAAGGAGAATGTTTTCTAAGTGTCTCATAGGACAGGACTATGAGACCATCAAAGGTTTAAATGCTCTGAAACTTATCATCAAAGCTTGCTCAGGGATGGAGAAGCG